CCTGTGATTAAACATAATTAGCAGGAATGGAGGGAACAAACATAGCTGGAATAGGTATGGGTGTGGTCCAAGTTATAATCTAAAAGGGTAATTAGCATATTGCTCTTGGATGCTCTTCATGAAAGGGAGTCAGATCAATAATACAAAGCTGGAAGCAGGGGTAGAGGGCCAGCATAGAGCTGTTAAGGAAGCTCAATGGAGGGAGCAGTCCAAGGCAGCAGGAAATGGCCAAGGCCCTGGCTCAGATAGGGTGTCTTTATGGAGGCACAATTTGAACCCTCTCCTTGCTCAGGTGCACGTGTGCCATGTTGGTCCCAGACACCCTGACCCGGTGTAGCACCAACAGCATTTCTATTTATTATCAAATTATTTTTCAAATGAATTATATACAAAGGAGACCTGGCTCATATATTTTAGGTTAATTTAGAAGAAAGGCTTAGCGTAGTCACCAAGGGACACTGTGGGTATTGTCTCATCCTATTCAATATAGTATGGATCAGGTACTATATGTCAAACATTATATCCAATGTTATATCAAACTGCTAGAGTACCACCTATCAGTAGTAACTCCAGGTTAGCTGTCAAACCCTCAGACTCAGAGAGCTGGCTGTCTTTCTTCCTAAGCTTTGCCCCCTTTTTGTTGGTTAATGTTTATCTCCTTAGCCTAAGGCAGTGGTGCCAAACTCAAATAGAAAGGGATGGGGGGCAGCTAAACCAACCATAAGGATCCCTGCAAGTGAATATTAATAACTTAGAAAATCACATGTTAACATTATCTATGTTACTGCATTTTTATTTATTTTGTTAAGTATTTTCTGTATTTTAATCTGGTTCCAGTGGCACTCTGAAATATTATAGGTCATATGCGGGGGGGCAGGGGGTGTCAAGTGTTTGATATCTCTGGTGTAAAGGTTGGGTCAGATTACTTAATTAAATTATTAGCTCAGCCCCCATCTTCCTGGCTCCTCCTAGTAATTGTGTCACTGACTGTGTGCTTCATTGATTCATTATATAGCATATCATATAAAACTTTAATTACTCCTTACATGACCAACTTCAGACCAGGCAGCAGTCACTCTTAAAGAACTGTCGTATGATTATGGATTATAAACAAATGAGAATTTGATTACTAATCATAAGCTAAGGTCCTATGCAGAGAGGACCCAAAATCTGAACCCAGGCAAAGGAGAGAAAAGAGAGAGAAAAGAGGAGAAAAAGAAAGGAGTCATATTTCAGAGTGGCATAAACTAAGTTTCAAGTGAGAAGTGATAGGTATTAAAATTGGTATTAATGGGTAAGGTCATTGGAGGAGAGTTATAGATTGCAGAGAACCTGAGAAGTTACTCAGCAGATCAACTAGCCTGGCTGAGAAGTTAATGCCCAATTCAGGGTTAGTCAATTATAGTGTGGGTCACCTTACCTTAGCAGTGGGGAAGTTCAATATAGAAGCTACATTCATCAGGGAACCTTTAAGGACATTTCCTAAGACAGAAGGAGATCAAAGTTTATCCTTCCAGAGTTGTGAGTTATTCTGAGTACATGGGTTTTTCTTACCCAGGTGCCTCTGTGACAGATTTCTTCTATAAATGTATATCCACTTTCCTCTATAGATACCAAGTGTATTGGTGGGATTGTGAACCCAGGTCACAGGTGTGTGTGTGTGTGTGTGTGTGTGTGTGTCTGTGATATTGTCAGAATTTCCTTGTTTTATTAAATAAATGGTTATTTTAAGATCTAAAAGTGTCATTGTTGTGAGTTGTTGGTTGTATACATAAAAACACATGGCTGGGAGCTCAAGAGCTAGTGCAGTGACTAAGGGGAGTATATTTCCTCTTAATAGGGTTACTCCTAGACCCTAAAATAATTTAAATGTAACACTGTGGTGGTGAACTTACTCTAGGTACCTAGACTTGTTAGTGTGAAAATAATCAGCCCAGAGAATAAGTATGTGTCCACATACACACACACACACACACACGCAGATATGAAGTGTTACAGAGGGTATGGATACCCCCCACACTCAGTATTACACAACATTTGCAGGCAAATTATGTCTGGCATTGACCTTGAATCCTAGTTACCATAATCTTCAATTGCTGCCGTTGCTTGCTTCTACAGATCTGAAACTCCACTTAATTATAGCTTATTCATCCAAGTCTCCAGCTGTAAGTGAAAAGGCTTTTAGGCTAATACCAAAGTAGCCGCAGCCCAGTGGTCACAAATTTGGCATCCCCAATAGAGAATGAATTGGTCATCATTCTGTCCTTGTCTTTCACCTTTTAACTCTTCATTTACCCTGTCCCTCAGTCTGATGAACTCATAGTGTGGGGGCCTGTTCCCTCCTCATCCCACATCGTAGCCTCCTTCAGGGGGGTTAGATGGGCACCAGTCCTCTGGTAAGGTAAAGCAAGGAGGAGACTGGTGGCCAGCAAGGAGTTTTAGATAAGGTTCCCATGTTCAAGACTATGCAATATTCCCAGGAAACATATCTATCACTCAGCAAAAAAGACACATATACATAATAAAAGAAACATACCATTTTATTTCTTCAATTCTGTAAACTGAAAGTGGCATTTTACATGTAACAGAACATTTTATTTAACAAAGTTTGTTTCTTTATACAGAGCAAACTCTCTGTCTCAAAGGCACTTTGATTCTGTGGCACAAATGGTTTATTAATTTTGAGAGGCAGCAAGGTGGTGTGGTGAAGTGTCAGGAAGACCTTCCCCTGCTACTTACGAGGTATGTGACCCCAGAAAAATCACATAACCTCTCTGTGTCTCAGTTTCATCACCAGTAAAATGGGGATAATAGCACCTGTCTCCCAAGGTGGTAGTGAAGATCAGATGAGACAACAGATGTAAATTGCTTTGCAAACCTTAAAGTACAAAATACATTCTAGCTAATATTATTGCTTGGAAGCTTCCCTAAACACAGACTAGGAAAGAGGTGCAAAGAGAGGACAGAAAGCTTGGAGAGAGGAGAGAATTGTTTTGTTTGACAGCTTTTATTTGTTACGAGGGTTTACTTTTACTTCTTTTTTTCCAGTGGAGGGGAGAAATGAGAGGGAGAATTAAGAATTGAATGATAATTGAAAAAAAAACTAATTTTTTTTTAGAAAGGAGGAAGGAAACAAGCATTTATTAAGCCCCTATGTGCCAGCCACTGTGTTGAGCTTTAAAAATATTCCATTTAATCCTCAAGACAGACCTGAGAGGTAGGTGTTATTATTATCCTCATTTTACAGTTGAAAAAACTGAGACAGAGAGACCTGTTCTGTCCAGGGTCACATAACTAGTTAACATCTGAAGCTCTATCCTGACTTTAGATCCAGTGATCTATCCACTACACCATCTAGCTACCTCTAAGAGGAGAGAAGAGGGAAGGTGCTAGCAAAAAGAGGAAGAAATGTGGGCAGTTTTAGAGCCTGAGTTTTGTGGAGCATGATTAGGTGTAATAAAATTCTTTCCTAGGACATGTGAAATGTCCTAATGCCCCTGAGGAGACAAATGGCTCTCTTTCCCATCAGTAATCATTCAGGTCTTGAATAGCATCATCTTGGACTAACTGTCTAATGTTCTCACTTAGTTCTTTTTCTCCTAGAGGGTAACTTAACATTCCTACTTCAAGCAATCTAGCCTCCTATGAAAGCTCCCTACCTCCCTTTGACACTCTGGTTTCTAATCTTATCTTAATCTGGACTGTCCATAAAATGGCAGTTATGCTTGCTGAAGTTCTGAGGATTTTATTCTAAGTAGTGTTTATTATGATGGCAAAGACAGAAGACTAATATCCTAAGAACCTTATCATCTTGACCAATGAGTGCAGCCAATTTAGATAATCTTAGAGAGATCACAGAGATCTTGAAACCATATGATGAATTCGTGTTCTGACAAACATTACAGGATACATTTGTGCTCTGATTTTTTGTTGTGGATCATTTGTCATTTTGCCATGAAGCTTAAAAAATAATTATAGTATTTGTCAACATAGCAGCACCCAGGAAACAACTCAAGGGAGACCTAATTTTCATCTTTGGGAGGCTAAATTGGATTTTGGGGGAGGGGGAGATGGTAAATAGAAATTCTTTTTATTGCTGAAATGAAAGAGTTGAGAAAAAGCAGATCACCCCTCCTACACCCCCAGTATCTAAGAATGATAATGGTTAGCATTTATACTAAGGTTTTCAAAGCACTCCACAACACTATGTTATTTTATCCTCACAATAACCCTGGGAGTTAGGTGCTATTTTTAGGTCCATTTTGTAGGGGAAGAAACTGAAACGGGTTAAGTGACTTGCCCAAGTTCACCTAGCTAGTAAGTATCTGAGGCTGGATTTTGAACTCAGGTCTTCCTGATTCCAGGTCTAAGATTCTATCCACTGGGCCATACAGCTGCTCCAAGTTCCGGAGTTGCTACTAACTAGCTGTGTGGCCTTAGGCAAGTCACTAGGGCCTCAATTTCCTCCATTGTAAAGTGGAGAGGTTGTACTAGATAATCTCTGAGGTCCCTTTCAGATCTGAATGTGAGTCTATGAATCCATTGTCTTTGGGGTTTTCTTTTTCTTTTTTCTTCCCTTCCAGTGGTGAGAAGAGATGAGAGGGAGAAAAAAAAGTTTGACAAGTGAAAAAAAGTAATAAAAGAGAGAGAGAGAAAGGGAGAGAGAGGAAGAGAGAGAGAGAGAGAGGAAGGACACATGCATTTATTTAAGCGCCTACTACATAGGCTCTGTGTTAAACACTTGACACATATTTTCTCATTTGATCCTCACTACAGTCTTGTGAGGTAAGTGCCATTATTATACTCATTTTACAGTTGAGGCAGACAGATGTTAAGTGTTTTGCTCAGGGTCACACAGCTAAGTAACTGCAACACATGTCTCGTGGACTTGTGATTTTTTTTTGTTAACAATTTGAATGTAGATTTTCCTGATTTTAGGTCCAGTGCTCCAGCTAGTTTTTTTCCTTTTGCATTTCTAATTGTACTAACCAGGTACTGACTTTTTTTTTTTTTTGGTAGATGGACCTGTGATTTCATCAGTGTGGGGAGCTCCCCGGAAGGTGCTTCTTTGAATAATGCAGACCAGCACCTATGCTTCCTATTATAATCTTAGAGATTTGCCTAGGGAACTGAGGGGTTGATTACACAGCCAGTAGGTTTCAGAGGCAGAAACTGAACTCAGGTCTTTTGGACTTTAAGCCCAGTGGTCTCTTAACTATCCCACTGTCTCTAATGAAAAATAAAGACATAAAGATTTCGACTACTATCCCTGAGCTAAGAAGGATATTATATCTAAACGTCCTAATATGCACCACAGAAAGCTCATTAGCCAATTTATGAATTATGATGCCATTCATAGTTCAAAATACTCTTTTATTAATATGAAATCAGAGGATCATAAAATTTGGAGCTAGGAGGGACCTTGGTGGTCATTGTGTCCAAACCCCTCATTTTAAAGATGAATAAATTGAAGCCCTGCGATGTGTCACTAACAAAACAATGACTGTGCCTGGGTACGTAGTAAGAAACGCAAGATACGAAATTCACAGAAGTTGAAATCTATTTCCATTTAGTCATGGTTGTCCTTAACCCTTATTGTGGCATTTCCTCTTATGTTAAAACCAGATAAAAACAAAACCACAAATAATTAGTCTTGCAAATAGAATCATGATCCATGAATTTTCTAGTTGTTTTCTCATTGCAGACATTCCCAATTCTTAGTTCTACCTGTTCTTTTCTAACATCATATTGGATGGAACTAGAGCTAAAAAGGTTAATGTTCTAAGTGAAGGAATTTGAGTAACTTCCTCTTAGGGTTTTGAAAACATTCTAGATAGAAGTCTGTTGCTACAACTCAAACTATATTTTCTATTTCTATATTCTAGCTATATCTTAATTTTATAAAGAAGATCATCTATAATTTACTATTGTTTCTTATTTCTGGAAAACTGTCCTTTATGACACTAGTCTTCCATTTTTCCTCTTTATCTAGCTTCCTTTAACCTCACTCTGTCCAACCACAAATTTCTTTCACTCTTTTTTGGAAACAGGTGATCTAAAGTTGGTTTCCTTTTATGCCCTACACTGACCACTCTGGTCTCTTGGTGAGATGGCATAGTAAGGTTTCCTGTATAAGACACAACAGTCCTTTGTCAGGGAGCTACCTCCCTACCCAGCCAGATAAAATTATCAGTCTCAATTCACGACTCTGAGATGACCAATGAATCCTAAGTGTGTATGCCTTTAGCTCTCAATCTGGTGGCAGTTACTGAACTGCTGTGATTTCATTCCAAGCTCTGAACAGAATTGAACAGATTAGTTCAGGCAGAATTATCCCCACGAGATGAATGCCATTTCTTTGAGGGTTGCATCACAAACAGATATGTCATACCAGGAATCTTGTATAGCTCCTCTGTTCTTGCTTTAACCATCCTTTTAAATAGACTGATAGGGGTTCCTCTTTCTGCAGGGTCCGTAATGGGAGAGGATGAACAGCAACACCACCAGAACACCAGATGATAGGCAAAAGGCAGTCAGTGCTATCCTTAGAACTTGGAAAAATAGAAAAAGGTAGATAAGCAATTTTTATTAAGGAGATCCTAGAGCTGTGCAACAGTGGTGGTTTTCTGCCCTCCCTTTAAATTTCAGATGCCTTGAAATTAATAGTCAGCCTTGAAATGGACAATGACCCATGAGTCCTAGGTATGAAAGAAATGAAGGGCCAATCATGACGTAGTCAGGCAGCAGGCATAAAAGAAATGGAGTATATCCTGTCTCTTCTTTCCATCTCTTTGGGTTGGGTGGGGTTTTAGATGGTTTTCATTTTTATGAGAATTTGTATTCCTGGAGAAACTCTTAAATCATCCTTATTATATAAAGGTAAGCAATTCCAGCCAAACTGTATTTTATGTCTAATCTGTCCTCTCATTTCCACCTAGTCCATTGATAGTGGGGCAATTAAGAAATAGATATTAAGTAAGGGAATGTCTTTCTTAACTGCTAATTAAATTTTTTGCCCATAAACCTCTGAAAACAAAGGAAAACACATTCATATGTAACCATTTATTCCTTTCCTAAATATACATTCTTAAGGAGAGAGAGGGTAAACTTGTTTGTTATATGAAGAGTGTTAGATTCATAGATCTGTCAGGTCTGGGGAGTACACTGGATCTGAAATCAGAAGACCTGGGCTGGAGTCCTATTTCTTCTTTGGAGACCTTAGACAGAGAAGGTGGGTCTTAACTGCAAAATGAGGGGTTTGTCCTAAATCAGGGGTGGGGAACCTATGGCCTCGAGGCCACATGTGGCCCTCTAGGCCCTCAAGTGCAGCCACTTTTGTTCTATGAAGTTTGGATTCAGTCAGAGGGCTGCACTTGAGGACGTAGAGGGCCACATGTGGTCTCGAGGCCGAAGGTTCCCCACCCTGGTCACTCTACATGGTCTTTAAGGTCTCTTACAGATCTAATCCACAAGCCTTCATCCTACCACCCTGTTGTCTTATTAGGCCTTGGTTATCTCAACTGTGAAATAAGGAAGTTGGATTCTAAAAGATGATCTCTAAGGTTTTTTTTTCAGTTCTACATCCTAGAGCCCTAGAGAAAACTCAGTCCTTTCATAGTGCAGTCAAGGAAACTAAGGCCAAGAATAAAGAAATGATTCTCCTGTGGTCTAGTTATAGAACTAGACCTAGAAGCAGGTTCCCTTTCAACTAATCTGGTGTTCCGTCTGTTTTACTGTGCTGCCTCTTAGATGCGATCATAAACAGCAGAACTATGAGAGGTGAAAACTGGAGGATAGTTGGCAATGGAAGATGAAGGTGAAATTTTGAAGGCTGTATGGAATTGGGGCTGAAGGTGGGGGGAAGGTAATAACTTCTAAAATCTGTTTTTGTGGCTGATTTATAATTTTTTTGCATTTAGTTTCATTAAATATGTTTTTATGGTTATCAAATGGAGTAATATAGGTATTAGTAAGATGAGACAGATGTTTCTATCACCATTAACATTACAACTAAAGATTCAAGTTATAGCAACAGACAAATTGGAATACTATGTATAGATAGTCCATTTTGTAGATTATCGTTAGTCTATGTTGCCCCACTATTGTCCAGCTAGGTGCCAGGTTTATGCATGAGAACTTCAGGGCTAGGCACTAAAGGACTATGTGAGCATTGTCTTATGTGTATGTTCAATGGGACATGAGTTTGGACAGACTCTGGGAGATGGTGGAAGATAGAAGGGCCTGTCATACTATGGTCCGTGGGGTCACAAAGAGTTGGACACCATTGAATGCATGAATAACAAGTCCAGTGGGTCTATAGTTTAAAAAAATGGTAAGCAAAAAATCTTTTCACAACCAGTAGACCCTCAAATTTAGAATAATTTTGGGACAAGAAGGAGGATAATGGGGAATCCTATCAGAATTGGTGAAAATTTTGAAGTACAGAATATTTTTTAAAGAAATCAGGCTTTATTGTTGTCAAGTATTATATCAAGTATTATTTGTATATACATACATACATACATACATATATATATATATATACACATATATAAGCTTGCCAAATGTTCACTAGTAGAGGGCCTGCTTTATTGAAAACATAAGAACAGTTTATAATAAACATACTAACCTAAAATAGTATTAACTTCTGCTTAGATACCAGTTAGATTAAGTATATGTCATTGTGTTTTTTAAATGCTCCAAAATAATTTGTCCTTGAGTAGTTTACATTTCCTTTCTAATATTACTTATACTATGTATTTGCCTAGCAAATCTCTTTCCTTTTTTTTTTTGAGTAGATGACGGTGAAGTCAACTTAAGCTCAGACTCTGTCAGAATGATCACAAATTATTAGTGAAATCCAAATTAAGTGCTTTTTCCTAGTAAAATGGATCTTTTAAAACCCTTACAACATTATTTATTTTTCTTCCAGTAAGATTATGAGATCTGGGCCCTCTAGAATCTGTACTGAAGGACTTTAAAACCATTTAAAGAAATACTTAATCCTGTACACACACTACTTTGAAAAGTCTCATTTCAAAGTCACTTTTAAAATTTCCTAATACTGGCTTCTCCCTTCTCCCCTCCTCCTATTTCATATATGACTCATTGAGAGACTGGGAAAAGTTATATATGTCATTGAAAAGTAGATTTGAGGCTGATACATCATTCTAATTAATCATTATATTTATTGTTCATCTGGTAAGAGAGGGCTGAAGAGGTGTCATTTGGAAGGTGCTGTCCACTTCTCCCCACATTAGGACATCTTAATTGGAAGAAGCTCTGCTTGTGACTTTAGCATCCAGGTGGAACCATCCCTTAAAATTCTCTCCCTTTTGACTTCAGCAATTCTGTCTGTAGAATGATAGCCTCTAGGCATTTTTTTTGTGTCATTCACATGTCAAATCCACATCAGCTTTTATTCTCTGACTCCTGTGGGTAGACACTCACTCACTGGAACATTAGTTTCTGTAGTTACTTCTTAGGTGCAAAAATCTGCCCACAGCAGCCATCTTATCCTTTCCCACCTGGCTGATCTACCAAACTTCATCAAGGTCTCCAGATATTCATCCTCCTGTAAGATCCCATCTACTCTGAAACTTATACCTCCACAGTACCTTGTGTCCCTGGGGCTCTCCCTCCTTCTGATTGGAAAGGGGGGAGGGTGGACATCAGAAAACTCCTCCCAGATCCTCCATTTAAGGAGGGAGCTTGGGATAGCCATCTCATCATTTCCCACTTGGCTGCTCTCCTAAACTTCATCATGCCCCTACTTGGTTTTTGAATTGAGAGATACATGCACGGAGTTTGGTTCCTATGGTCTAAATTTCACAGCAATTTGAGAATTCACTGTCTGTACTCCAAGAAGCTTTTATTTTGCATATCCTTGGAAAGGTCTTATCTTTCCTGACTTTCTCAAGTTCGCCAAACATGGCAATGCCTCCTCTCCCACACCACTTTCAATTTTTATGTCCCTCAAGTTGGTGGCTTCTAGAAAGAATACTTATATTTCTCATCTCTTTTGTGCATATTTCGCACACAGGTTCCCCTTTTCCTCACCTGACATCTCCTCTATAGTGATCTATCTATCCCTATCCATTTTATCTCTATCCTTCCATCTAACCTCTCTACTCATCTATCCAACACATCTATTTACACATATGACATGCACACAATGTACTCTCATAGATTGTTTTCACTTCATAGGAGCAACAAGAAAGAGAGGTTGGTTTTTCATTGGTTTTTAGGAGCCAGACGGATCAAGGGAGTTTTTATTTTCTCAATTCTGCTAATCAGGATTTAAAACAAAAACCCGTAATCAAATTCAAAACAAGACACAACCTGCTTCCTAGGATAGGACAATCCAAATGAAGATTCAGTCTCATCTCCCAGTCCTACTTGTCAGTATCTTAGTCAGCCCCATCCTTGCCCTTATGCTGCTCTTATCCACTGACCTGCCCCCTATCTGACTCATTTCTTTTATCAACTCTTCCTCCCCACAGCTACCATCTTGGCATCTTCTGTTAGGAAGGTGGGAACTCCTAGGAGTCGGGGCTAGTGCTCTTGCCTGTTGCTGTCAGGTTGTTTATTGGAAGTTTGTTCCCTCCCTGGCATCTGATCACTCATTCCTTAGGACTCTTGAGAATTGAAGATAGTGAGTTTGCACCCAAGACATATTCTTTTACCTGGTGTTTAAAGGGCTGTCCACACCTAGTGCTGTTAATCTGAATTCAGGGTATCTGCAGGAAGTATAAAGACTGGTGAGGCCAATCTAGTACCTGCATGGCTTAGATGAGCCCCATGAAACTTGGAAAACTTGTAACTTCTCTCCAGTTTTATCCCCAATTAGATTTTGAAGCTGCCTGATAGACATTACATCACCCTTGTATACAAGCTAAGGCAAGTTTGTTGTGAGTGAAGGTAATAGTAGATGGAGAAGTCTAGCCTTCATAAGAATGGGAGTTCCCTGAAACACATCACCAAAATCCATTTTCCCCTAGCCACTGAGAGTGATGGCTAAGGCATGATCCCAAAGCTGTGCATGATTCCTAGGCCTTCTTATTGTTGCTTCTTGAGTAGGAATTAACTTCCTTGATATGTTTTATTAACTTTCTTAGTACCTTGATCTTCACTAAGGCTGAAACACTCCTTTGACCAGTCTTCTGTCATTACAGGGGAGACCAGCTCAACAAATTGCTTCAATGGACAGCTGGATGTGCAGCCTGGTAGGGTGAGGGGATAAGGATCCTGTTTTGTGTCATTCCGATAGTACATTTCAACGTTGTATTGCCTGGTTTGTGGGACATAAAAGAGAGCAACTTTAGTTCCTGTATCATTCAAGTTCCTCTAAATTCCTCCCCAGATGGACTGCAACACAGGAAGTGAAAGATTAGGGTATCTAAGGATGCTTTGCCTACCTTGGGGTTCAGGGGATGGGAGAAATCTGTGTTGTGGCCTTGATGGGAAGAGCAGACCCGGGGAGAAAAGTGTTGTAGGGAATGGGTGGAAGATGTTGGCCGTTAATGGAGTGGAGAGGAATTAGGGATATCTCAATGGATAAAGAGTCTCTCGTTTGCAGGGTAGCAGGTCACGAAGAAGGAGTGAGTTTTGTAGTGTTGTCAGAATAGGTGTGGGAATCTAGAGCAGACCAGGAATTGCTGAATGTCAAGGTAGAGTGGGCAAGGAGCTGGCCTTTCCCTATCCCTTGTGTCATATTTTACTCATTCCTTCCGTGACTTGTCCAAGGTCAAATACCTAGCAGAGCTGGGATTTACCCAGTTTCTCTGACTCCAGATCTAGTTCTCTTTCCATTATACAACATCGCTTCTTCAAAGTTCCTGTCAATCCACAAGACTGAATGTGGACATCGGTCTCTTGCATGTCCACTTGCATCTGTATTGGAGTGTGGTCATCAGCATATGTGAACTAGAGCAAGACAATCTTTGTGGGCTTCAGTTTCTTCATCTGTCAAATGAGGAGGGTTGGACTTGATCACTATGGTCCCTTCAAGCTCTAAATGTATGAGCCTGTGACCCAATCATCATGTTTCTGTCCCTTTTTTCCCCAAGTGTTTCTCCCTTTTCCTTCTTCCTCTTTACTTGGTTTTTTCTCCCTCCCTTAGATGTCTTTTTTTACTTTATCTGTTAGTTATGTAGAACTTCGCTTCTGAGTTCTGGATAGCTATATTAGTTTTAGCTGGAGATAGTGTGACCTTCCTTTCCTCTCCCCTTTCTTTCTCTCTGGATCTGGATCCAGGTATCCTGTGATAGGTTATTCACTTACTTTGAACTTGATGCTTCCGTCTAGGCCTGGGAGGTATTAACCTTTATTTTAAAAGTTTGTTTCTTAAGCAAATGTGATAAAGTTTTTGATTTATTTATTTTTATTTTTGGGGGGCTAGGCAATGGGGTTAAGTGACTTGCCCAGGGTCACACAGCTAGTGTTATGTGTCTGAGGCCAGATTTGAACTCAGGTCCTCCTGACTCCAGGGCTGGTGCTCTATCCACTGCACCACCTAGCAGCCCCAATAAAAGCTTTTGATGATGAGAAATGTTGAGCTGCTGGCACACACAAACCCCCATATATGTATATGTATGTTTATAAATAGAGGAACAGAGACAGTGGATTCCTCATCCCAGAGTGACCAAAACAGGTTGGCTTGGGGGATAATTTAGAACAGTGAGACCAGGCGGGAGAGTAATAGTGATCTAGTATCAGCCTGACATATGAATTCAGGATTCATATACTTCTATCTCAGGAGCTGCTAGGGAGCCAAATGAGGATATTTTCCCATTCCTTTCCTTTTCCATTTTTCTGGTCTGACTAGTTGTCATTCTAGGCTCTGAAAAGCCAGACACATTTTGTGAAAGAAGGGAAATAATGAGTTGCTTGAAAAGTGGAATCCATGCCCCTGAAGGGGACTGAGTTGCTAGGGAAGCTCTGCCTACAGGAACATGGGGGAAGCAAGCGGCATGAACTTGCTCAGTAAGCTCATGGGCTTAATGGAAGATTGCCAGCCTAGTTATTTGTTATGTATTTGTTACAGATGTCTGTGATTAATATACATATATATGTAAATATATAATACATATAGATAATATATAAATAAATCCTGTATGCTCATCGGGTCATAGCTGAGAGTTGGAAGGGACCTTAGAGGCCTTCTAGTTCATCCTTGTCATTTTACAGATGAGAAAACTGAGGCCCCAAAGAGTTAAGTCATGCCCAAACTCAGGGGACAGTGGCAAAGTTAGGATTTGAACCTATGACCCTGGCTCTAATTCAGAACTTTTTCCATCATAGTATATTGCTTCTGTCCCTTGTTCTTACATCTGAAGTAGAAGAATTTAGCTTTTTTGCTGACTTTTCTTTAATCAGAAACAAACATAACCAAAAACAAGTTTTTTCCCATGTTTGTGGTCCTTGGTTAATATTTTCCTTTGAGTCATTGCTTCTTAGTAGAAAAATGTTCCCCATCCCTGGTTTTCTTCTAATAAATTCTAATTTCTATTCTAATACCATCCCCCTGGTATTAGAAGGAGGTAGAGGGGCAGCACGTTCTGGGAGAACAATAGTAAGGAGCAGAATGGGTATGAAGCTGAGACTGCGTCCTACCTGGCCAGAGTGAACAAAAGGCCTTTTTGCAGTCTCACTTCTGGTCTAAACCTGACACTCAGGCTGGCTCCAGTTCTGACTATCCATACTACCTGGAGTCCAACCCCCTGATTTTAGAAAGGAGGAAGCAGAGGCCTGGAGTGGGGAAGAGAGCTGTCCAAGGTCCCAGGAGTGGTAAATGGAAAAGCCAGGGTTTGAAACCAAATCCTCTCACGAAAAAATCCGACATTCTTTCCACTGCATCAGTATGTAGAGTGCTGTGTAGCTATAAACCCCCATGTTGACGTAATTCGATTCAATATTTATTAATCACCTGCTGTGTGAGATGTGCTCTAGTATTATTATTATCAGGAATCTCTGGGAATTTCATAGGCTCATAAAGATGGAAGGGGCCTCAGTGATTAAAACGAATAACATCTAACATTTATAGAGTACCTACTATGTGTCAGGTTTTGTGCTAAGTGCTTTACAATTATGATCTCATTTGATCCTTACAACAGCCCTGGGAGGTAGATGCTGTCACTATTCCCATTTTACAGATAAAAATAATAGCTGACATTTACATAGCACTTACTATGTACCAGACATTGTACTAAGAACTTTACAAATATTATCCCTTTTGATCCTCACAGCATCCCTGAGAGGTAAGTGCTATTATTCTCCCTAGTTTGCAGATGAGGAAACTGAGGCAAATAGAGGTTAAGAGACTTGCCCAGGGTCATAAAGCTAGCAAGTGTCTGAGATTGGTTTGAACTCAGGTCTTCTGACTCCAGGACCAGTGCTTTATTTACTGTACTACCTAGCTGAAGGATCAGACTAGTATGAGGAAAAGAGAATTGGCTTGTGCCCATTAATTTTTTTGAGTAATTAAAAAAAACAAAATAAAACCCTTATAACAAATGTGCATAATCCAGCAAAACAAATTCCCATGTTGGCCATTTTGAAAAATGTATGTTGCGTCTTGCACTTTAAGTGTATTATCTCTGTGGCAGGAGGTGGGTGGTATGTTATATCTTCAGTCCAACCCTTTCATTTTACCTATGGAAAAACTGTGGCCTAAAGAGGTTAGATGACTTGCTCAAGACCATCCAGGTCTTTTGAATCGAGAGACAGTTCTCTTTTTCCTTGTAGCACATTGCCTCCCTTTCTATCAGGCTCTTGTCTCACATGCAGATATATTTTTCTTTTAGGATGTCTAGGGGGATCAAAGAAGATGCTCATCAATGGGGAAATGGCTGAACAAACTGTGGTAAATTAGTATAATGGAATATTACTCTAATTTAAAACCCCCGAATATTATGAATACAAAGAAGCATGGAAAGACTTTCATGAACTGATGCAGAGTGAAGTTGGCAGAGTCAAGAAAGTGATATACACAATGACTACAATAATGTAAATGGAAAACAATGACAAAAGAACCAAAAATGAAAGTTGTAGAATTACAAAGAAAAAGCATGGCCCCAAAGAAGAGGTAGGAGAAGATACCTCCTCTCATAAATTTGCAGAGGTGAAGGTCCTCCGGTGTGTTACACTGTGTATATTTTCAGACTTTTTGATGTGTTGATTGGTTTTGCTGTTTTTTCTCTTCTTTTAATTTTTCTTTAAAAATATTCTGTTATATGAGATATATATCTAGGTGGGGAGGAGGAGGGGTATTGGGAAGATATGTAGGTGATATTTTTTTAAAAAATATTTCAATAGAAATTTATTTTTAAAAAGATTTCCAGGGCCAACTCTGTGTACCGAGTGATGTACAGTTTTGTACCAGATTGTATTTGCCTAGGGTTGCCATTGACTTTATGACCTTATCACATGACTTCTCTGTCAAATGAGGCACTGGACTAGAAGATATTGAAGGACCCTTCAGGTTCTAACATTCTTTGATTTCGTTGATGGGATATTATGCCAATTTATTTCTCATCTCCCCTCACCCCTAGCTGGAACAGTTAACCATGGTAAATGAGTAATTAATATTGGTTAATTGATTTCTTGAACACTGGTGGGTACCGTCCTTCCTGGATTGTGACTGTCTCGGCTTCCTGCTTGAAAAGGGGCAGGGATACATCAAAGCAGGAGATGAGCTCCCTCACTGGCCACCAGTTCTTCTTCACCCCACTGGAAAATGTGTGGTCAGAAGCATGTAGCTATGGTTGTATTATGAGAATGCTCTGGAGCAAGGTGCTTCTTACACCCAGATACTTTTAGGGTGACAAAGCAGTTGTCTGGCACAAATGGTCTAACTTCCTTCTCTATGAAGTGGGTTAGTTCTCCTCTTTCTTGACTTCCTGCAATCCTATCTGTGATCTTTGGATCTTAGGAGATCTAATACCCCTGACTACATGCCTGAATGTGTATTTAGCACTGCCCCTTTTCTTCCATGCTGGAAGCCTGGCAGCCTTCTCCAGTGAGAGACAGCTCTTGGAATGATCTTGGTGTAGCTAGTGGGTTTAAGGTGCAGTTGGCAAAGCCTAAGAATGGCATCATAACATCTCAGAAACCACCCCATCTAACACCCACTGGACTGATACATGTTTGACAAATGGTCACCTGGCCAATGATTCGAAGGCTTCCAGTAAGGACAAACCAACCATCTCCCATGGTAGTACATTTCACTCTTGGACAGCTCTGATAGGAACTGTTTCCTTGTATTAAGAAAAGATCTGCTTCTCTTCACCCCTTGCTCCTAGTTCTGCCCTCCAGAGCCAGCCAGAACAAATTGAATCCTTCCACATGGTGATCCTTAAAACACTTGATGCGTTTGGTCTCCAGACCCTTTTACGATCCTCAATCCTCACATCATGGATGCATTAGCATCCTATTTTTTTTTTCTACAATCTGTACTTAATCTGGTTGTTAATATGCTTCCTAGATGCCTAGAACTGAACACAATACTGACACCTAGTCACAAGGGGGTCTTATTAGGGTATAGGGTGACAGTGGAGGGTCAGACTAGTTTGAGGGAAAGAGAATTGGTTTGTTCTCATTAATTTTTTTTGAACAATCAAAAAATCCCCAAATAAAACCCCCATATATGCATAGTCCAGTAAAACAAACTTCCACATTGGCCATTTTCACAAATGTATGTAGCATCCAGCATTGTAAGTGCATTATCTCTCTGGCATGAGGTGGGTAGTATGTTCTATCTTCCATCCTCTGGACGTGTGATTTCTCATTTCATTGATCAGACTTCTGAAGTCTTTCAAAGTTGTCTTTCTCTACATTGTTGTCTAAGTTCTTATCAATTGATCTCCTAGTTCTCCTGCACTTCACTTTGCACTTCACACTTTCTTCAAAGAGGTCTTCCTGGTTTCCTCTGAAACTCTCCATTTTGTCATTTCTTATGGCACAATAATAATCCATTCCATTCTATTCCAGTATTCCATACCACAATTTGTGTAGTCATTCCCTAATAGGAGGGCACTCCCTTAGTTTCCTGTTTTTGGATCCTACAAAAAGAGTTGCTGAAAATATTTTGGTACATGTAGGTCCTTTTCTTCTTTCTTTGATCTCTTTGGGGTATAAGCCCAGTAGTGTTATAACTGAGTCAAAGAGCTTGTATGAACAGTATAGAAACGTTTTGGACACAGTTCCAAATTGCTTTCCAGAATGATTGGATCAATTCACAACTCCATCAACAATGTATCAGTATGCCTGTTTTTCTTCAGCCCTCCCATGTCATATTGTTTTCCTGTTCTGTCAACTTTGCTAATCTGATGGATGCATGATAGAACCTCAGAGTTGCTGTAATTTGCATTTCTCTAATTATTAGTGATTTGGAACATTTTTTTCACATGGTTGTTGACAGCTTGGATTTCTTCTTTTGAAAACTTCCTCTTCATTTCCTTTGACCATTTATTTATTTGGGAATGGCTCTTAGTGTTATGAATTTGAATCAGTTCCTTATATATCTTTGACATGAGATCTCTATCAGAAAAGTTTTCTGCAAAACACCTCCCCTCCCCCAGCTATTACAGGTTTCCTTTCTAATTTTGTCTGCATTAGATTTGTTTGTGCAAACACTTTTAAGTTTTCTTTAATAAAAACTGTTAATTTTATCTTCTGTGACCCTTTTCTATTGCTTCTGTAGTCATGAGCTCTTTCATCTTTTTCTAGTTTTTTCAGCAAGCTGTGAGTGAAAGAGTGAGCCCATCAGTTTTTTAAGGTTTCTTCTAGCCCCAACATTATATCCATCTCTGATTATCTTCTTTGTTCCCACACTCCTTCTTCCCAAATGGCTAATGGAATCAACTTTTGATTTTATAGGTCACTATGTAGGAGTGCTTTAAGAACTTTCTATGGCTGGTAGAGAGTCATGGTTTCATATTGACCCTTCTTTTTGTGTTATGCTGTGTGTATGGAAATACTCTGGGGTTGGGTTGTTTTTTGTTTTGCATTTAGGTTCAGAATAAAAACATTTTTTAAAAAGTTGTGTAGGGTTAACATACTATTTTTTTCTTCTACATTCTTAGGTTACCATTGATTTTGGAAAATTTTTATATATTTTTTCCAATTATGTATAAAAACAATTCTTAACATTCAGTTTTTAAAATTTTGAGTTCCAAATTCTCTCCTTACTTCCCTCCCCGCCCTCCTCATTGAGAAGGCAAGCAATTTGATATAGATAGTGATTTTGATTTTGAAAAGGATTCAGAATACTCACCCATTCTCAAGGTATAATTCCATTATGTGGCAGGCAGCATAAGGAGGTAATTTTCCATTAAAAACATCGAGTCCTATCTGCAGGGCGCCAATAGTAGTGTCATGCTGAAAGAAAGAAAAGACATTTTCCAGGCTTACCTGTAGTTTATCCTTTTCCATTAGCTTAACAAATAATCATAAAGTTTTTGGGGACCCATTGACGTGACACAACTACAGAGTAATAACAACATTTTTGAATGGTCTTGTGGCACCTGAGGCATGACTTTGGAGATAAAATTTCTTGAGAAATTTGGGGATAAAATTTCATAAGAATTAGAAAGTGTTACTTACATAATGATTGAAATACAGGGAAGTATATTTTAGAGTTCTTAGAAATTATTAGCTTGGCTTCATATACTGCTGGGATTTAGAATAATATCCTATTCACTTTTTGAATAAACAAGTGGAGAAAAGGGTAGGTGATGTACTAAAGATCACACAGAAAACTGGAAGTAGATAGCATTTTAAAACCCAAAAGACCTAGCTTTATATTCCCATGTTTACTGCCCTGTGGTAGACTGATATCACCCCTTCCCTTACCTCCTTTTGGCCCATTGATTTCATTGGTATAGGGAATTCTGGGTATGGAGTCTCCCTCCACTGTTACAAATCTGGTAACTCATCTGTAACGTATGATCTTAGAGAGTTGCCTGGGTCATTTGAGAAGTGAAGTGACTTTCCCATGGTCATACAGTCTAAGAGATGGGATTTAAACATAGGTCTTCCTGACATCAAGATGGGTCAGTTTTCTAGCCACCTTGCCCTTTTTTGCAGCTCTAGGAAATGATTTTGTAGTTACTTTTCTGCTTACATGTTGTTTCCCTCTAATAGGAATGTGAAGCTCCTTAAGGCAGGAACTTTTCCATTTTTGCCTTTCTGCCCACAGGGCCTAGTCAAGTCAAGTTGATAAGTATTTTTAAGTGCCTAATATGGCAGATACTGCAGGTTCCAAAGGAAGGCAAAAGTTCCTGCTCTTAAGTAGCTCATGGTCTAGAAGGGGAGACAACATGCAAATAACTATGTATTAACAAGACATATATAGGATAAATTGGAGGCAGTCAAAAGAGGGAAGGCACTAGCATTAAGGGGAATTGGGAGAGGCGTTTTGTAGAGGACTTGGAGGAAGTCAGTAAAATGCTCGACATATGGTAGGTGATTAATAAATGTTTGTTGAAATGGTGAGCGAAATGAATGAATATTCCAGGCTGTCTTTCACTCATAAACTAAAGCTCATAAAGTATTTACAGAGATTAAACTATTTCAGTCCCATCAAGGATGTCCCTATAGTTGGACATCTGTATAGTCCATGCCTTTGGACTTTACTTATGGAAAACTTTCTATTTAGGAGATCAAGTTGTCTTCCTTTGTATCTTATTTTTGCTCCAACTCAGAGAAAACCAACATACTTACTGCAGAATAGATGATGAGTTTTTTCTCATTAGATTCATTGGCCACATTCTTGAAATGATCAACAATGTTTTTCACCAGGACACCTTAAGGAAGATTTACAAAATGGTGGGGATGAATCAAACATCTGATTAGAGCTAAACACTCAGTTCACAATTAAGTTACCGTGCGACAACTCCAGTGGGAGAGGGAGAGGGTTGTTTTAAAACACAAATTAGGAGAGCACTGAATTTAAGAGACATTGTAAGGCTTTTAGGATCACCTGGGACTGTTTTCAATGTCATTTTTTCTGAAGTAGAGGCTTACAAAATGTGATGCTGGGTGCCTATCTGCCTGTATCTCTCTGTACGCTATTCCTTCTTTCCATGCTTGCATATGTTCATGTTCTAATAAGCTGCTTTGGGATTCAGATGTAATGTAGACTTTTCAGGTGATTTTTCAGGATTTAATTACCTCTTGTTATCATAACTCTTTTTATTCTCATGGTCCTTAATGGCATGGTAGAAAGAAGAAGGAAGAGATCTTGATTTGGGTTCTGATGCTGTGACTACCTCATCATAGATCCTTGGGTAAATCTTGGCTCCTCATGGTACAGTTTTCACTTCAGAAGAAGGCAGAATTTGGACTAAGTGACCTATAAGGTCCTTTCTAGGTCAGCAATTTAGTGATTCTAATATCCAGGGGTGTGCTGGAGCCACCTCTACCCCCCTTATGAGAGCTGATTGTTAAATTTTCACTGTGACCATTTACACCATGGAAATGAGCAAATACTATAAATTAGGACTTGATTTATTATTTTGTTGATTGACTAGACTTAAGTAAAGGAGAAAATGTTAATAATGCAGGTTAAATTTAGAAGTGTGTCATGGCACATTTCTTTTGAGAGCCAGTTGTTAAACATCTGCCAGCATGCAAATATGCCATCTACCAGGGAAGCTAGATGGTACCATGGATAGAGAACTTGGCCTCAGACTCAGGAAGACGAGTTCAAATCCAGTTTATGATACTTCCTAGCTGTGTGATCCTGGGCAAGTCACTTAACCTCTGTTTGCCTCAGTTTTCTAAGTTGTAAAATGAAGATAATAATAGCACCTAACCTCACAGGGTTGTTGTGATGATCAGATGACAAAATATTTGTAAAGGGCTTAGTAGCCCAGGGCCTGGCACATAGTAGGTGCTTAATAAATGTTTATTGCCTCCTTCACCTCCCTAATAGCCATCCATTAAGAGAACAAGGTGGTCTGGCTCCTGTGTGAAAAGTTAGATGCCTCTTGGTCCTTTTCTCACCTGTGAACCTGTGAAGAACTCTTGTGTGTTGTCACTGTAACTATTGTTTGCAGGACCTAGCTTTTTGGAGGGACATGCGCAGACACAAAAGGGAAGCTACTCAAGCCATCTCATGCACTAGAAACACTGACATGCCTTGCTACGAAGAGCTCTCACCCGACTTCCCTGGTTCTCCCTCTCTCTGAGACAATGAACTCCAGAGCCACAGTGGGAGAGCCAGTGAGGAATGCCAGCCCAGAGAGCTGGCTTCTGCATATTTGCATGTGCTGTTTACAGGCAGCCTCAGAATGAGAGCGAGGGACTGGGGATGAGCTCATTAACTCTGTTGGTAGCAGCTGCTGCCTTCCTGCTCCTGAAGGTCAACTGCCACAGCTCTGGATTGGAGTAACTGGATGCTGTTTTGGTGGAGTCGGTGAACGCAGTGTGGCAGCAGCCTTGATTCCTATATTCTCTTCCATTTCCTATAGATTAATGAGTGTGTCTGCTATGCTGCATTATGTTATAATTTATTGAATATTTATGTGGCAAAATATCTGATATAATAATGATAACTGACCTTTATGGGGCACTTGAAGGTTGCCAAGTGCTCTCTGTACATGATTTCCCTTGACTCTCATCACCCTGTGAGGTGCACCATACAAGTATTATTAGCCCCATTTTTACAGATGAGGATGATTTTCAACTGCTCTCATTTACCCAAATCTAAAACTATTGAGCTTCTCATTGGGATTGATCCAGGCAAATTTCCATTAATGCCAGGCTCCTTCCCAGAGCTTCTAGATGACAGGCCATTTTAGTCATTTTCCCCTGGAAATGTGCAAAAAGTAAAGGTCATTCCATAAACAACCAAGTTAATATTTAAGTGCCTTCTGGCTTAGTCCAATGTTGCTTACCTGGATAGGCACAGAATTCATCGTTCAGAATTCTGAGATGACTGCAGTTTACAAGAGCATGACTAGGCTACATAAATCATAAAGCCCTATCTAATCTGACATATATACTGTACACATGTAGATGTAGATTGGTGGTGTTGAGTCATTTTTTTCAGTGTCTGACTTTTCGTGACCCCATTTGGGGTTTTCTTGGCAAAGGTACCGGAGTGGTTTGCCATTTCCTTCTCCAGCTCATTTTACAGATGAGGAAACTGAGGCAAACAGTAAAGTGACTTGCCCAGGGTCACACAGCTAATAAGTGTCTAAGGATGGATTTGAACTCAGGTCCTCCTTACTCTAGGCCCAGCATTCTTTCCATTGTACTACCTAGCTGCCTTTGTATATGCCGATGCATACGTATACATGTGTGTCTGTCTGTGTTTTAGCCACATACCTCCCAGAAGCCGAGTTTTTTCTTTCCTCTTATATACAGCAAAGATCGACAAGAGAGATAACTTAGACAGCTCCTCCAGCTTTGCCATGGTGTCTGTGGTGGCCCAGGGGGGTAGAGTAAAATTGTGAATTCTCTGCAAAAAGGAGAAAACAGAAAATGAATAGAGTTTTCTTTTTCCTTCTGGCTGGCCTGCTTGTTTGATGTCAATCTATCTTCCCTAATCATCTCAGAAATGCCACTGCGTTCACACCTCACTGGTATTGGGGTACAAAATATAAGAAATGGGCTCTTTCTAGAAACAATTCACATTTTGATAAGCAGCTGTAAAAGTCACCCAAGGAGACACACACTGAGGTTGATTTCTCTCCCCCTTTGTGTGTGACCAGGGCTTCTGACTTAAAATTTCTCAGTGGCTAAAGGGAATTTTATGTACAATGAAGTAGGGAATATTAGGATAAAAATCTCCCCAACATGGAGGAGGTTTAGGAACCTCCCTCTGCATTTAATAGGAAAGGCAAATGCATTGGCAGAAAAATTCCACTTGAAGAAGATAAATTAAAGGGCTTAAATACAACACAAAACACTTTTGTGGCCTGAAAGGTGAGAAGGTAAAGGGATGATGCTCTGAAGCCTTTGGCAATATGTCCTCAAAAGGTTTCTTAAAATGAGTCCAACTGGTTGCCAAGGGAAAAGCTTCAATCTCCAAAGTAAAGCAGGTAGACATCCCATGCTACGATTACCCTCCAGTCAGAAAAGACCACCAATTCCCCAAGAAGCAAAAGCACAGTTGAATTGGTATTAGTGGAGATCAAAGCCCAGTGAAGAACAAAGACCTGCCCCTCGACATAAAAGAGCCAGGCATGGCTGAATGGCCCCAGGAAAATGGAAATTAGCTATATCTCAATGCGGGCCAAGGGAGCATAAGGAAAACAGCATAAAAGGATAGTCTTAAACTTTTCCATGGAAGAATCTTTGACAGAAGTGGTTGGATATATTTGGTGAAGTAGATGATAATGATAAAAAGAAGTAGAAACATAACACACTTCTGGGTCAAGCAGTTCTACCCAAGGAAGACAACTGTGTCATTTGTCACTAGGGTAATAACTATGGAACCAATCTATGCTCCCAGATCACAGGATCTGCTGGGAGGGATTTCAATCGATCAGTCAGGAAACATTTATTAAGTGCCAGGCACTATATGCTAAGCATTGGGGATACAAAAAGAGGCAAAAGACAGTACTGGCCCTCAAGGAGCTTACAATCCAATGGGGGAGACAACATGCAAACAAATATATACAAAGCAAGCTCTCTATAGGATAAACAGGAAATAATTAACAGAGGCAATGCACTGGAATTAGATGATCTAGTCCAGCCTCCTCACTTTACAGATGAGAAGACTGAGGCCCAGAGAGGCAGAAGAGCTGGAATTTAAACCCAGACCCTCTGACATCAAACTCAAGGGCCATTCTTCTACCCCATCCCAACTAGTGGTATTCTATACTGCGATAATTTCAAAGTGAGAAGCAGTGATGAATAGTGGAGGGCAACATTTACCCACAAGACTTCTCACGTGGGCAGTGCTCTAACCACGGCCTATCCGTCAGACCTTCTTTCTGACTGTACTCCCTAGAGCAGGGATGAGGAACCTGTGGTTTGGATTCAGCCGAAAGGCCTGAATTTGAGGACCCAAAAGGCCACTAGTGGTCTGGACTGCAGGTTCCCCACCCCTGCCCTAGGGCCTTACCTTAGTTTTATATAATCTCCAAATTCCTTTATAGCTTCAAATCTTCTACACATATATAGAAGCCTTTTCCAATCACTCTAGAGGCCAGTGACCTTTCACCAAAATTACCTTGAATATATTTTGTGTGCACTTATATGTGTGTAGGTTATTTCCCCCAATATATTAGAAGTTCCTTGAGAGTAGGGACTTTTATTTTTATCTTTATATCTCAAGTAGCGGGACAAATAGGAAGAGTTTAATAAATTAATGCTCACTGATTTTCTCATTCATCGAATGAGCCTGATGGAAAACAGGCACTCATTGTATCCTCCTCTCCTAGCTAGTAGGTAGAACACAGTGACTCAGAAATGATACACAAGAGGGCTGACAGAAATTCCTCACCAAGTGAAGAAAATATCATCTTGAAAAACCAGTAACAATTTGTTGAATTACAGTGAGTATTTGACCTTCATAGGAAAATGTTTGGTGAGGCTCTTTGCTGATAAGTCAGTGCTGATACATGCAGCCTACATTTTCTTGCTTCCTTATATCTGTAAAATTCAAGTAATTTTTTTTGTCCTGTAGAAAGGCATTTCTTTTTTAATTAAAACACATACCAAGAGCCCAGAATTCCCGGGTGAGTGAAAAATCACTAAATGGCAAAAGATGGACAAAAAGCAATTTTGCCTGCAATTTTCTAAAGGGTAAGAATATTAATAATAAGAGAGAAAAAGAAAGACGGGAGGATTTTCAGTAATAAAGGAGTCTTAATTTATGTTCTACTGTTAAAGGAAATAAGAGTACTATATCTAGAAAGGAAAAAAATGGAGGCTATGTTATAGAAGTCTAAATAGGCATTTTTCAAAGCATCAGATTGTAGGAGGTTAGTCTTTTTTCTTTTTCTTGTACCTCACAAAATAAAGGATCATAGATTTTATTCCAGATTCCATTAAGGTCCTTGATTTGGAGTCCTGAAAGCTTTGATAAAGTATTTGTAAAATCCTGAAAAACATACAAATTGACACAAAGAAAAATGATGGTGAATTAGTTATTTGCCAGGAAAGTACATTGGGTGATATTGACTATGATAACTTTAATAAGATGAACCTATAGAATTTTGTAGACAAGATTAATTTTTGTAATATTGCAAGTATAGGGGCAGCCTGCTGTAGTGGACAGAATGGTGATCTTGGAGTTAGGAAGGCCTGGGTTCAGATCCTGCCTCAGATATTTATTAGCTATCTGATCTTGGGTCAAGTCATTTAATCTTGATGTCATGGGACTGTGAGCTTTAGAAGGATAAAGGATTTTAGATATCTTCTAGTCCAACTGCCTCATTTTGGAGATAAAACTGAGATTCAGAGAGGCTGTGATTTGCCTGGGTTGCATAGTTAGTTAGCAAAAATAATAATGACTATCATTTATATAGTACTTTGAGGTTTATGAAAGTCTTTATAGATGTATACAATCTCATTTGATCCTCACAACTACCCTGTAAGGAGGGTGCTATTATTATCTCCACTTTATAGATGAGGAAACTGAGGCCTAAGGAGGGTAAGTGACTTGCCCAGAGTCATCCAGTTATTAAGAATGAGAGACTGGATTCAGATCAGATCTTTCTAACTCTCAAGTGGTCTCTCTACTAAGTAACACTGCCTCCAAAGTAGCTAAGTCAGGATTTCAATCAGCTTCACTTGATCCCAAATCCTATGATCTTTCCATTATACTGTGAGGCACTGCAGGCAATCAACTAGGAATTCTCTACTGTCATAGAGGAGGGAATTCACACACTGGGAATTACCTGCGTGGATAACATCACAGTTTCTTCAGCTGTTTCTGGAATACTTTAAGTATAAATGCAAACATGCATCTGGGGGAAAGCTGGCTTTCCCTCCTTGGCCTATATTACTGTCAGGTTTGATGCAGTGATAGAGGTAGTAGGTGATTTGTATAACATGGGAGGATCTACCCTAGGTTATCCTTAGTCCAGAATGAGAAATTCGTTCTAGACTCTGGACTGCCCAAAGGACAAGGAAGTGGTTTGGATTCACTATCCAAGAGTACAACTTTTCTTATAGAAAATTATAATTCTGACACTGAGGGAGGGGAACAGAGTTGTGGCTATTCTCATGTCAGAGCAGAGCAGAATCAACTATGGATTCTGAGGATGGTGAACGTAGGCAGAAGGGCACTAACAGTGAGAGCTCAGGAAGGGGGGTGGTGCATCAGCTCATGACAAAGAGTGTTGAGCTAAATCTGGAAAAGTAGCATGATGGCAGCAGGAGGAGAACATGAGTGTGTATTTTGTGTCTTGTAAGGTTTCCAAATATAACTTGGAGAGAAGCTGGGGTAAGTGTGATCACATAATCCTGTGACTGGAATATGGAATCTTCATCCAAGTAGTCAGCTTGTCAAACTCTCCCCACAACCTGAACACAGGATATGGGATTAATACGATAATAAGATAATAATGAGTTTTGCTTTATGTACTATAGCATGTAAGGCTTATGTCTTAGATGTATTTTCTAGATGAGATATATTACATGGAATCATGTGCATACCTTAATAGTAACATCATGTGGACATTTAGAGATCACCTTAAAGTTTTCAAAGCACTTTAAGGGAATTGTCTCCTTCGCAAACCAATCCAGTATCTTTGCCAAGAAACCCCCAATAGTTGTGGTTGGACACAACCGAAACAACTGAACAACAACTTGTTTGCTCTAAGTAGGTCCATTTTTAAGGGAGCAGATTAGGTTTGGGGATGTAGACTGTGGTTGTGGCGTGGTATCAAGCTAGCTGGTCATACAGTGATGAAAATTGTGGCTGACCTTGTCAGTTGTTTTCAGTTCCAAATACTCATAGTCAAACCCAAGGGGGGTGGGGGTGGGGAGGGTCCTTTCTTATCCCCAACCTGAGCCCATTATATAATAACATATAGAATAGTAAAGCCAAGTTCTTTTTTTTTTCCTTAACCTTGTATGGAGACACCAAGTTTTGATATTCCTTTGACATCAAAGTTTCTTTCTGAAGCTTTTCAAGTCGAGGGCATTTCATATTAGGAAGGTACAGCAACTGAAAGAACAGGAATAAAAAAAATCCATTAGGCAGAAATATTGGAACAAATCCCATTTCTAATCTATAAAATTACATAGAAATACTAGAAAAGATATAGTCACATTTCAAACTTCAGCTGGGAAACCAACATGAAGAAAAAACCCTAAAATTTAATTGAACTGAACGTTTGAAATTAGATTTTTTTAAAAAAGGGATCAGTGTATTTGAGAGTCTTAAATAGGGAGATGAGGAGAGAATAAGACCAACCAATATCTCATTCTTCTCAGGAAGAAATGAAAGGCCTGTGATGCTATACTTTGTCACTTCCTATTTCTTCAAATGAAACGTGACATAAATCATTCTATCCCTTTCCTCTCATTTCAGACATAGATTATGTGTATAGCCAGTCTCTCCCACTCCCATATTTCACATAGGTCAGAGATTCACATAGGTAACATTTTAAGTCTTGGTATTGGTACAGGTAGTGGTATAGAGCAGCTGGGTGACACCATAGTACATAGAGTGCCACACCTGGAGTCAGGAACACTCACCTTCTGGAGTTCAAACCCGACCTCAGACATTTAGTAGCTATATGACCCTGGGCAAGTCACTTCACCCTGTTTGCCTCAATTCCTCATGTATAAGATGAGCTGGAGAAGGGAATGGCATGCCACTCCAGTATTTGTGCCAAGAGAACCCCAAATGAGGTTACAGGAGTTGGATGTGACTGAAAATGACTGAACAATAACGACAGTGATACAGCGAGTGGAGAGAGCACTCATTTGGGTTCAAATCCCGCTTCTGATATTTACCGCCATGTGGCTTTGGGTAAGTCACTCAGCATCCATTAGATCTCGTTCTCCTCATCTGTAAAGTGCAGGGGGTGGTCCAGATGACCTGTGAGGGTCTCCTTCCTGCCCTTGACCTAGGAGCCTATGATCAGGAACCTTAAAAGAGGTCAACTAGTTGGTCCTTTTCTCTTCATCCTTCTTCCGCTAATCATGGCGGAATGACTAAGCCATGATGATAGATGAAAAGCACTCTGTGGAGAGTACTTGTTAGATGTTTCCCAGCTCGTGGTTATCTGTGTCCTGTCTGTCAGCCTGGGTTATCTTCTGTCTGCTTCTTGCACACGTGCTGAAGCCAGCGCTGCAATGAGTTTGGAGGAATGAAACATTCCTTTCTCCAGTGTGGCAGCTCTGCAGTAACATGGGGATGCTTCTCTCATAGGGTTTTGGAATTGGATATTTCTTAATAGGGACAGAGGAAGTTTGAAGACCTCTATTCTCATAATAACATAAGTGCTTTCTCTTCACTACATCTACCATGATTTGCCATAACAGCTTGGTGGCTACCAAAAGAAAAGTGTTTAAAGGCTTACAGCTCATGTGCGCTCTGGTTGATTCTGTTATCGCCTGTTTTGAAGATTTCCTGCATTGAGGTTGCACCATATGGAAGTCTTCATCGCAGTCCCATTTGTACTTCTATAACCATAAGTGCAGGCATTCTAAAACATTAGCACTGGGATCAGAGAATCATAGAATTTCACAGATGGGAGAGACCTCTAGGTCAGCCTGTTCCTGAAAGGGCCTGTTCAGACTGGGATGAAGGCTGGAACTGAGACCCTGCTTCACTCCTGGGGTCAGAGCTGCTTGCTTCTGGGCTTGGTCATTGTTTAGTACACAGCTAAGGGCTCCCAGTTGCTCCTTTCCACCCCACTCCTAGGGGCACCTCAATTTCTCAGTCTGAATCTGTGACCTGGAATGAGGTAATTAGCAACAGCTGCCAGTTGGCCCCTGTTCTCTTTACTGAACAAAGTCAGGCACCTCCTTGTAGGTTTGGGACTTCTTAGTCTGGTACACAGTGTGGATAGATCCTCATTCAGAACCAGCACTGGAAGTCTCTCCATGGTGTACTCCTGGCTAGACCCTGTTCCCAGTGTCCAGACCTCACTGCCTGTCTCCCTATGATGACCTAGACTGGAAAAATGATTTATGGGGATTTTTTTCCCTCAGATTTCCCAATCAGGACTCGGTCGGGTATTTTTAAGTCTCTACGGAGTTCTGATGGAGAGCTCAGCTGTCCTTCTTCAGGCTTCTCCCCCACAATGGCTGCTCTGATATCATTTAAACAAGAGGACTCTGCCCACACAATCTCTTCCCATAGTTCCTGAAATTCTAACATGTAGAGCTTCCGTTGGGTTAGGAATTTCTGTCCCCTTCCCTCGCACATTTCTGCAAATACACTTAGAAAGGCTAAGAGAATATCAGCCATTCACAACAAAGTATGAATTAGTTGAACCCAATTACTTTCTTCTTAAACATCTACTGAAAATCTCAAACTCAAACTACAGGAATTCTGATAGGAGATTAGGGAATAAGGGAGAAGTAATTCTGAAGCATGGATAATCAGAAGAGGCCAGACTAAAGTAGAGAAGATTTGGGCAGCTGGAGGTTAATAAATATTGAGTAAAAGGAAAATATGGAAGAGAAGTCCAGGAGGGAGGAAGAAAAGGCCAAGGAAAGGGTACATAAGTTGGCCCCCAACAAAATTTGTCAGCTTTCTTGTATTGTCTAGGGTTAGCCTTATCTGGAAATGTATATCTTGAAACATCCTCTGCTTGTTTGAACTGGGAGAGACCAGAGGCTGAGATAAAAAAAAATAACCTTGAAGTTTCCACAGATCAGAAGTCACATGAGGCCATTTTCTTTTTACTGCTATTTCCATTTTCCCAATTTCCATCTTCCTGAGTTCAAATCCAGCCTCAGACACTTACTAGTTGTTTGATCCTGGGCAAATCACTTAACCCTGTTTGCTTCAGTTTCCTCATCTGTAAAATGGCAAACCATTTCAGCATCTTTGCCAAGAAAACCCCAAATGGGGTCACGAAGAGTCAAATATAACCGAACAACAACCTCCCTATCATGTACTTCATGCTCTCTGATACACTGCTTGCTGAGCCCTGTATATAGTCTACCCTTTCCAACCTTCATTCCTTTACTTGGCATATCCTCTTACCCTCCTTCACGAAGCCTTCACTGATTCTCCCTGCAAGTCAAAACCTTTCTCTCTTCTGAGCTCACATATCATTTTGTATATACTCTCTGATCTAGCCCTTATCAGATATTATTCTGTATATCCTAGACTGTAAACTTCATGAAGGCAGGGATTGTGGCTTATATAAAATTCGTTTCTTCTTCAGCACTTAGCACAGCTTTGAACAGTAAGCACTGGTTCACTTTTTTTCTGCACTTTTAAAATGACTTGAAATTAACGAGTCATATATTCTGGCTCCTTCAGATTTCTCTGTAATCTCCAGCTGAGAGATACTGCCATCATACTGACCTGATCTTGAGAAACTGGTACTGTATGAACTGGAATTGGCTGCCAGAGGATTTTGGGGTTCCAAATACTAGAGCCTTCTGGTGGAAACAGGGCAGCAAGATTTGTCATGGCACTCATCAGAGTCCGGTCAATATCTGTGCTTCGGACATAAACCTAAAAGAGAAAAGAAACAAACCAAAACTATCCCTGTCATTAGAACCAGGTCTTTTCCCACGTGCCCCTAGGACACGTAGTACCCATGAAAGACCAATTTATGGGAACTGTGGTTTTCTAAGGAACTAACGGGGCCTTAGTAGAAAGGCCCTACATGCCCACATAGGAAGCTTATGAAAGGGTAGGACATCCTCAGTTATTGGACTCATTTTGCTCTTCTGTGAAAAGAGGCAGTAGTACAAATGTGCCCCACTTTATGAGTCTTATTTATAAAAATGTGAATTTGTGAATAAAGGGGTGATTACTTACATTACAAAAGACCCTTCCCACAAGTTTTAATTAGTTTTTTCCTCTTCCTTTCTAGTCTCCTTACACTTTATTCTTTTCCATCCTCTCTACATTGCAGCTCAAAAGGACTCCTTTAAGTTCCTGAACGTGACCTTCCCTTGTCCTGTCTTCTGAGCATAGCCCTGGCTGACACAAGTGATTGGCATGTTCTGGCCCTCCCTTTACTCGTTGACTTCCCTGACTCCCTTCAAGACTTAGCTCAAGTCTCATCTGCTCCACAAGGGCTTTCGGGGGCCCATCATGTCCCATTGACATGACCTCCTATCTGTTCTGTCTCTGTTTTGTGTGTACCTGGTGTTATTTACATGTCATCTCTTTATTAGAATGCATACTCCCCATTCTTTGTATTCACAGAGCTTGGCACAGGGCCTGACAGATACACAGCAAACCCATAATCAGTGTTCGATGACTGAATGAATTTTTGATCCTGACTCTGATTTCAGCAGTGGAGGGAACTCTTTCCACTGAGGAAGCTAATCAGTCAACAAGTGTTCATGAAGCACCTGCTATGTGCCAGGCACTGGGGATACGAAGACAGTAAAGTAAAAATCCTTACTTTTTTTTTTTTGGTAAATTTTTATTTTAAACTTAAATACGAAATAAGAAAAGAAAAAAGAAATACTAAAACTTAAATACAAAATAAGAAAAGAAAAAAATTGCTATGTGCACAGCAGAACATGAGAGGATTCAAAATATAAAGCAATAAATTTCCATTTCAAATAAATAGTACACATTGTGTTCAGAGCTGGACTTTTTTACTTCCTTGTAGGTTTAATTTTGTCCCCTGCTGTGTACTTTTTACTTTGTTCTTTTTTTAATTAAGCACGGATATATATATATATATGCATATATATATGCACACATACATATACATACACACATTTATATGTGTACATATACACACAAACATTTAGACATACATATAGACACACTTATGTACACATACTTATACATCGATATCTATAATCATACACATATACACACATATATATATATATTCATATGCATCTATATAAGACCATACTATACTTGTTAGTGTTCTGTTTCTGTGAAGGTGGATAACATTTTCCTTCATAAATCCGAGTCTTTCCATGTTTTTCTAAATCTACCAACTCATCATTCCCTACACCATAGCAATATTCCAACCTTATACTGTCTAGTTATTTTAAATAGTCCAAAACAATATTGATTAATACGACTGACATATAGTGTAGTTTCCGTATTTTTTCTTTTGATTAAATCTATTTTAGCTTTAACTTTGTCTGAGATCATGTTTACTACTCCTGCTTTTTTTCTCTAATAAATTATACTCCTGATCTTTTTTTTATGTTTGTGTGTATCTCTTATTTCCTATCCCTCCTGACTCCTCTACTTACCTTCTTGTTTTTGCTTTTTTTTTTTTTTTTGGTGAGGCAGTTAGGGTTAAGTGACTTGCCCAGGGTCACACAGCTAGTAAGTGACAAGTGTCTGAGGCCATATTTGAACTTAGGTCCTCCTGACTCCAAGGCCAGAGCTTTATCCACTGCACCACTTAGCTGCCCCTCTACTTAACTTCCACCTTTTACCTTGCCCTCCTATTACTTAACCTACTCTCCCAAACCCCCACAAAGGATCCCTCCCTTATCCTCTCCCCTCCACCCTTTTCCTTGCCCTCTTGTTTCTAACTGAATTTAGAAAACTTTATAACCTTTCAAATATATAGGCTGTTCCCTCTTTATCCCATTCCCATTAATCTAGACACTCTTCTATACCCCCTCTTATCCTATTGCCTCACCCTCTTATTTCTTTATAAATGTAGAAGACTTTTATTCCCTTCTAAATGTATATATTGTTCTCTCTTTAACCCATATCTGATGTGATAAGCTTCCCTCTAAAAATCCCTCCCCCTTCCTTATCCCCTTAGCCTTTTATTTCTTTCTAAATTTAGAAGAATTTATAAATATATATATGTGTATATCTATATCTATATCTATATATATTTCTCTCTTTAAGCCATTCCTGATGAGAGTAGGGTTCCAGAACTACCAGCCCTCCTCCCCCATCTAATTCCTCTGTGCCAGTTCTTCCTCTTGCACCTCATTTGTGTAATTACTCTTTTTACCTTGTCCTAAACAGTTTTACTTTTTAGAATCACATCATACTCAGCTCTACCCTAATCTTTCTTTTGAACTACCCAATTACTAATTACAATCTGAGAGATACAGTTTACATTTCCTCATATAAAAAAATAAATAGTCTGTCCTTATTGAGTCCCTTGTAATTAGTCTTTGATGTTTACCTTTTATTTTTCTTGAATCCTGCATGTCAAATTTTTAGGTCTTTTTGTAATAAAATTCTGAAAGTGGCAGTTCATTGAATGTCCATTTCTTTTTCCATTCAGGATTATGCTTAGCTTTGCTGGGTATGATATGTTCAGCCAGAACCCCAGTTCTTTTGCTCTTCAATATACAGGGTTCCAAGACCTGTGGTCTTTTAGTGTCATTGCTGCTAGGTCTTGTATGGCTCCACCATATTTGAATTGTTTTTTCCTTGTTTCTCATAATATTTTCTCCTTGACCAGGGGTTTTTGGAATTTAGTGATGATATTCCTGTAGGTTTTCCTCGTAGGATCTCTTTCAGGTGGTGATTGGTGTGTTTTTTCTATTTCTACTTTCTCCTCTTGTTCTAACACCTCAGGACAATTTTCTTTAATTATTTCTTGTATTATTGTATCAAGATTCTTTTTTTGATTGTAGCTTTCAGGTAGTTCAGTTATTCTTATGTTTTTTCTTCTTGATCTATTTCTCCAGATCAGTTGTTTTCTTAGTAGATATTTCACATTCTCTTCTATTTTTCATTCTTTATATTTTGTTTTATTATTTCTTGGTCTCTTATAACTTCACTGGCTTCCCCTTGCCCAATTCTAATTTTCAAGGAGTTGTTTTCTTCCTTAGAATTCTGGATCTCCTTTCCTAGTTGGTTAACTTTCTTTTTATAACCCTGTTTTCCTTTGATTGTTCTTTTTTAAAAAATTTTTCCTCAATCTCTCCAATTTTACTTTTAAAGTCTTTTTAAAGTTCTTCTTAGGAATTCTTTTTGGGCAGGTGCCATTTGACATTACTCTTTGGAGTAGGAGAGGCTTTTTTTGCTTCACTATCCTGCTCTGAAGATGAACTCCAGTCTTCTCTATTCCCCTGGTAACTTTTTATGGTTGGGTTTTTTTCTCCTTTGCCTGCTTATTTTTTTTTATTTATAGCAACTTGTTGTAATCACCTATAGTCCTGAGGTATAGGGGATGGTGCCTCTGGCCTCAGGTCCTCCTTAAGTTCTCCCCTCTGGCATGGAACTGAAACCAAGAACTCTGCTGTCTTGTAAGTGTCCACAGCCAGTGTGTCCCTGCCCCACTGCTTCTGCACTGCTGGTGCCTTCTCACCCAGGGCTGCGTCTCAGGTAGCACAGCTGGGCCTGGCATCCCTTATCAGCAGAGGTTCCCTCAATCTTCTCCTGCTCAGACCTGACTCCCCACACTGTCTAGTAGGCGAAAATTCCTGTGGCTGGGGCCAAGGCTACTTCCCAACTCAGCTAGCCCCAGGGATCTCTACTTGCTTTTTTATCAGAACTAGCTTGGAGGTGTTTACACTCACAGGGACCAAACCTGGGATTTTTCTGGTTACTGTTCCCCCCAACTCTTGTTTATTTTTACCTGCTCTAACATTGGCCCTGAGGCACTATTTTGTCTTGTTTGAGGGGGAAATCTGGAGAGCTTGGAATTTTCTGACCTATTCCACCATCTTCCCAGAATCGTCTTCAACAATCCTTACTTTTAAAGACTTTAAAGTATGATTCATTTTTTTAAAAATGTAGTTTACAGATACATTTTTTCTTGAATAATCTTATTGAGTAAAGAGTGACTTTATAGTCATTATTGACACACTGTCACTATTGAATAGAGTAGCTCAGTGACGAAAGAGGGAAATGACTCTAAAAATAGTACTTTTAGCAGTATAAATAAGAAGTCCTGTAATTTGCATTTGATCTCCTGGAAAGGAAGACAGGTGGCACAGCATATAGAACACTGGGCTTGGAATCAGGAAGATTTATCTTCCTGAGTTCAAACCTCACCATGGATACTTACTAACTGTGTGACCCTGGGCAAGTCTCTTAAACTTGTTTGCCTCAGTTTCCTCATCTGTAAAATGAGCTGGAGAAGAAAATGGCAAACCACTCCAGGATCTCTGCCAAGAAAACCCCAAATGGAGTCATGGAGAGCTAGACACAAGTGAAATGACTAAAACAGCAACAAAAAGAAGACAAGCACTTTTCCATATGTAATGTTTAACTCAATTTTTACCTCGGACAGTGGAATTCTTCCCTCTCCCCTCCCTCTAGTTGTTTCACTTGCCTTATTCCGGTGGTAAGTAGAATTCAAGAAGTTGGAATATCTTTTCTTTAGATATGTTCCAAGCTCATAGTGCTGCTCCATCCCAAGCTGTGAGAACACAAGAACAAAGATCAAGCTGAAGGTTGGGATGCATCATCCAGCTCTTTATAAATGGCGGCAGTTCTGGTGCAGTCCAGTACCACAGACTTCAAGGACAATGAGCAAGGAGGAAACTTGAGCTGTGACTCAGAGTCAGTCATTCAACAAGCATTTATTAAGTACAAACTATGGACCAAATACTGGGCTAAGCATGGGGGATACAAGAAAAGTCCTCAAGGAACTCCCATTTTAATGGGGGAGACAATGTGGAAAAAATTGAATATTCATACTGTATGAAGCATAAATGGAAGGGAATCTCAGAGGAAAGGTACTAGCAGGAGGATGCACTGGCAAAGCTTCCTGTCGAAGGTGAAAATGAAGCTGTGTCTTGAAGGCAGCAAGGGAAACCAGGCGGTAGGGGTGATGGGGAAAAGCATTCCAGATATTTCAAAGCATGGAGCCATGAGATGGAGCACTCTGCTAGAGAAATGGCACATCGGCCAGAGTTGCTAAGGGACTAAAGTGGAGGGGAGGAAGGTAGAAGAAGCCTGGAAAGGTAGGAGGAAACTAGGATTTGAAGGGCTTTATAATGCCAAAAGAGAATTTTACATTTGATTCTGAAAGTGATAGGGAGCCACTCCAATTTATAGAGTAGGGTGATGGGTGACACAGTCAGACTTGTGCCTTAGGAACATCTCTTTGGCAGCTGAAGGAAGGACGGGTTGAATGAGGAAACACTGGAGGCAGGGAGACCAACCAACGCAATAACCTAGGTTTGAGATAATGAGGACCTGCCCCGGGGGTGGTGGTGTGAATGGAGATATTGTGAAGACAGAAAGGACAGACTTGGAAACAGATTGTAGAGGTGAGGAGTCAAGATCACACAGACGTGTAAAGCCTCTCAGGGGACTTTGCTGGTACCTAGAAGAGCCCCTTACACATGACAGGCCATCACTCAGAACTGGCTGGTCTGGTTTATTTCATCTGCATCCTTCCTTGGTACAGAATGATGCAAGATGAAGTTGAATGATACGTAAATAAAGCATCGCAAATTGATTTTAAAGCTGAGAAGGACAGCACTGAGGGCCGGCTGGTCCTGGTAGTTATCCAACATAGGTGCAGAACCAGAGGGGATATTGTCCTGGATATTGTTATACATTTCCACCCCTACCCTCACCTGCCAGTTCCCTGACATGAGAGATTGGAAATTAAATGACTCCATCACTGGGAGTCAGAGAAAAGGGAAGTGTGTGCTCCTTTATGTATATTTATGGTAGGATCACCTGGTGACTTGGTAAAGCTGGGGGAAGCAGGAACTCTAAGCTACTTTCTAATCAGTAGTGCATCTGGAATTGGGAGAGCTGGGTTCAAATCCAGGCTGTGGTACTTACTGTGTGACCCAAGGATACAGTCAAGTTACCTAAACTCTCTAAGCCTATTTCCTCATCTATAACATGGAGGTCATACTGTTGGGCCTACCAACTACTCACGGACTTGCTTTGACAGATGCAGTTAGTAACCCTTGAAGTAATCGAGATAAATGTTAGTTGTTAAGCCACTCCACGGCTGCTGCTTTTGATCATGCTGGCTTTTTATTTCATGCTGTAGAACTGGTTGGGCAACCCCTTCTCTTTTGAAGATTTGGAATAAGGGTGCACGGTCCAGCGCTGGGAAATGAACTTGAGGACCTTAGACCACTTCAGAGTAACTCACAGGACATGTTCCCTTCTTATTCTACCCAGGGGGTTATTCTAATGGGGGGGGTCAGAAACATGGAGTCTCTGGGGAGAGACGTGTACTAACAAGTGAAGATGATGTTTTCTAACCTGATTCAAATTAAAAGGAAGATATGCTATAGGATAGAAGAATGAAACACATAAGAGATAATACTAGTGATAACAAGTAATTTATTTATATAGCACTTTAAAGTTCCTTCCTTAAATTATCTCATTCCAGAAACCCCATGAGAAAGGTACTACAGGTATTATTCTCATATTAAAGATCAAGAAGTTGAGACTCAGATAATCTTAGCTACATCACAGAGTCATAAATTGAGAGCTGGAAAGCACTGAGTTCAATCCCCTCATTTTACAGATAGGGAAACTGAGGCTTAGAGAAGGTAAGTAGCATCACAAGATCATAGATCTGGGGCTGACAAGGACCTTAGGTCAATGAGCCCAATTCCCTCATTTGACAGTTGAGGAAATTGAGGCTCAGGGTAGGTAAATGACTTGCCCGAGATCACACAGACAGTAAGCATTACAATAAGGATTTGAAGCCATATCCTTTGATTCCACAGCTAGTGTTCTTTGCACTATAGGATGTTAACACTGAGTATAAGATCATGTATTTCCAGCCCAATTGACTCATCTCATAAATTAGAAGACTAGTGTTTTATTTTTTTGAATCTAATAACTGGTCATGGACATTACTGTGCTATTTTGTATATATTTTTTTAAAATCACTAATAGCTGACTTATTTTGCTGATATACAATCTTCCAGTTTTAATATACCCATTGGGGAAAAAGTAAATCAGAACAATTAATGAACATTTCTTCTTGCACTTCATTGATTATACTTAACTGAAAAGCTAACTGACCCGGCTAAGTTGTCCAAATCCCTGAGGCCAAGCAGATTCTTGATGGGGATCATTGGGAAAGGTTTCAATAGGACTCCGGTCTCCATGCCGAAATAGCTGGAAAAACAAGTGGGAAAGATACAGTGTTCATTTCACTTGGTGTTTCTCAGTTACTTCTCTTGATAGTTTCATTGTAAACTCAGCTACTCCCTTGTCCTCTTGACAGTTCTTTAGGTAAAATAGAAACATGGCTAGGATAGCACAATTAATATTTATGGATGGATCCCTGGAACTGAAGTTTATAATCACAGGCTCTCAGATCTGGTGAGTATCTCAACTAATAACATCCAAGAGTCCCCTCTGCTTGCAGGTCTCTAGCAAGGAAGAAATTGTTCCTTTCTGGGGCAGCCCGCTCAACTTTTGGACAGCTCTAACTTTTAGCAAATTTTTCTTCACATCAAGAAGCTATCTTCCTCTCTGCAACCACTGCTCATTGGTCCTACCCCTCGCCCTTACTCTTTTGTGTCCCAGCCCCCCTTTATCTTTCTTTTTTTAAAAAATTTTTTTTTCCTTTGTTGGCTAGGCAGTGGGGTTAAGTGACTTACCCAGGGTCACACAGCTAGTAAGTGTTATGTGTCTGAGGCCAGAATTGAACTCAGGTCCTCCTGAACCCAAGGCCAGTGCTCTATCCAGGGCACCACCTCACTGCTCCCCCCCTTTCTCTTTCACTGGACTTAGCACAGTGACGGTGTAGTCATACGCAGTCATAGTACGTGCTTGTAAGCATAGTTGTTGTTTGTCCTTCGTTCTCAAAGAAGACCATGACATTATGGAGGTGATGCCATGACTTGCAAGTGAACTGGATTTAAGTGAGCGAAGCTGCGCAAAGTCACCATGTTCACTTTCTCCTCCAGAGCCATCTGGGTCCAGTGGCCAGATATAGATCAGGATGACTGCAGATGGCCCAGGATGCAGTAGGACTTGACTTGATTTCAAAGCAAATAACTATAATTTTAATTTCCTCGGTTCTCCAAAATCTTCTACAACTTGTTATTGCACCTGCTACATGTGTAGCATGAATTGTTTGGTTTCCTTGAGTAGCCTAAAGTTTTATTACAAGAAATTCAAAAAACACACAGCACAGCATAATAGATGGAAGGGGTAGGGGAGACAGGAAGACCAGGGAACAAGACTTGCCTCTGATCAAGACTGTTGTCAAGTCACTTAATTTCTTAGTTCTTCAGGCAATTTTAAAGTTTCAGGTCAGCTCTGGTTCAGAAATGGTGGTAGAGTTTTTCCATACAGAGTTCATTATTCTGATCTGAAATCACATGTTTGGACCTCCCTTTGCCTCTCCATTGTAGAAAATGGATCATTACCACTTGTGAAGCAATCAACATGGCTCTTAGTGGGCCTCTGTGGAACACCCCATAGGCTCGGCCAGAGATACGTTGCCTTAATGGGTGTTTTTCTCCTTGAGTGTAAACAAAGGGACAGATGGTGGATGGTTTCTATCTCAGAGGAGAAGAGAGTTGGGGGTCCATCCATTCCTTTCTTCTTGTGTTTATTCCGTCATTCAACAAATATCCATGGTCCCTGAGATGAACTAGGACTGAAATTAAATTGTCATATAATCCTGGCCTCTAAAGGTACAGAACCTTTGGGGGTAGGTCTTCTTCAGACTTGTAGAACTTCTCAGGGGCTATGGCTATGGCTTTCCTAGAAAGACGCACCATTGCTGAATAATTAAAGAGATTTTTACCACTTTGTTAAAACCTAAAATTATAGGAAATTGTTGATTTACCTAGAATATATTTATATATGTTATACTGATTTGAATAACATTAAATTTTATATATCATTTGCATTCTGGGTTTGTTTTACATAGACACTTACCTCAGAGAACCATTGAGAATGAAATGTTACATTTTCACATTTGCTAACTTGCAATATCTGTTCATAGGTAATGGACTTTGCTATCACTAATAATATTTCCAGGCTCACTGCCTTTTAAGATGCATTGCCATGTACCTTGTGCTGTTGGGTCTAGTAGCTGAATGGCTGGTTTCTTCCAGAGATGGAGCTTTAGGCATATTTATCATGTGAGAAAATTCTTTATGGTAATACAAAGAGTAGTTTACATTTGTATAGTGCTTTGCATAAACTGGTGAGAATGGATGATGTGCTAATAAGTTTTTATCCACATCTCAGAGGATCCTGCTTCAAACCTGAATCCCCTTAATGTTTCTCATTGCATAATGTAGGAGTTGCTGCCAATCAATGAAGGTTTTTCCCCACCTTTATAAAATCGCAAAGGGCCACTTCATCCCCACCAAGACAGGTACTTAGGTTGGTAGAAGTTACAATAACAAGTTGGTTCTTCTCTGCCAAAACTAGGCTTCACTGGAATGTTCCAGGTTTCAATGGAGTTTCCTTGCCAAAGTCTTTAAAATTAGAAAACAATGAAGAAGCCACATCCTATGTTTAAGTGCACAATAGCTTGGGAGAAAAGAAAAAGATTTAGTTGGTGTTCAGTCATTCGGTCATGACCCCACAGACAATGTCCGTGGGATTTTCTTGGCAGAGACACTGGAGAAGTTTGCCATTTCCTTCTCCAGTGTGTCCCCATTTTACACACGAGGAACTAAAGCAGATAGAGGTTAACTGATTTGCCCACGGCCATACAGCCAGCAAGTGCCTGAGGCCAGATTTGAACTTGGATCTTTCAGAGTCCAGGCCTGGTGCTCTATCCAAAACAATGGACCTGTTCTCAGTTGGCCTGAAAACCCGTGGACTGCAAGCTTGGTATGTCAACCATTGTGACATGGCAGTTGAAAAGGCAGATGTAGACTTTTGGGGGGATGGGGGTGTTAGGTGGTAGGAGGGATTTCATCTGATGTTTGGTGTGACAAATTCCTAGAGTAGAAATTCACTTCACCAATGTAGACCAACTCTACTAATCTCAGAGTTCAGACAAGAACACCTCGAAGATAAGTGATTGTCCTGTGGTCACTCAGCTAGGATGTAGCAGAGGCAGGATTTGAAATCAAATCTTCTTGGCTCCAAGGCCATCCGTCTGTGTACCATGCCACAGTGCCTCTCATGTTTACCGCTGCATTATCATGGGAGAATAGATCTAGGTCTAGAAGAGATGGTAGAGAACACTGAGCTCAATCTCTTCAGTTTATAGATGAAGAAACTGAGGAACAGTCATGTTAAGTGACATGTCTAGAGTCACACATGTCATAAGCACCTGAGGCAAGATCTGAGGTCTTCCTGACTCCAAGCCTGGCATGCAATTCCCTCTTTTACCCCTGACTCTCACATTTACTTTTACATTAGTAAAGATCCAATATTCAGTACTTGAGCCCTGGCCAGATCATAGCTGGGATATTATGTCCAATTCTGGGTATTGCCTTTTATAAGGACATTGAAAAGCTGGACCTTGTTCACAGTAGGATAACAAGGGTGCTGAGAGACCTCAGAATCATGGAGCATCAAAGGAACCGGGAACATTTAGATGAGAGAAGACTGAGGTCATTATGACATGGTAACACCTCCAAGTGTTCAAAGGGCCCTTGTGTAGAAGAGGGATTGGGCTTGTGCCTTTTGGCCCCATAAAGTGAACCGGGAGTTTTGGGTCAGGGTTAGAGAGGTGGAATTCAGCTCCTTCAATTTTCTAAGACTTTGATGAGTCTGTGGTCTCGCTGATATGGGCGCTGATGATCTGTGCAGGTTACAATCAGAGCATCAGCAACAGAGAGTTGGAAAGGATTTTAGATGTCATCTAGTCTAACTCCCTCAGTTTGCATTTGGGGAAACTGAGGCCCAGATAAATTAAGGAACTTGCTTGGGGTCCCATCACCAGTATGTGTCAGAGGAAGCATTTTAGATTTGTTAACTTGGAAATTTGTTTAGGGTTTTTGTAGACCCTGGGAAAAAGGAACATAAAATACCGTATTTAGCTCATTTCCCTTGTTCCCCTCTCCCTCACCCTGCCCCAACTATCTCTGATGCTGTGCAATAAGAAACAGACATTTGTAACAATGGGAATATATTTTGTCAGATTCTCCCCTGTACTAGTTACATCGAGAGGCAGCGCAATATAATGGTAACAGGGCTGGTCTTGGAAACTGGATTCAAATTCAACTGTGACAATTACTGTGACCAGGAGCAAGTCAGTGAACATCTCTGAGCCTCAGTTTTCTCATTTGTAAAATGGGAATAAGTCCTTGTCATATCTATTCCACAGGGGTGTTTTGAGGAAAACATTTGGAAACCTTAAAGGATCATCTTATTGAAAATTATTATCATTCTGCAAATAATTCAAGCACTTTGGGAAACTATATTCACCACTTTGAGACCATTGAAATAAATTTAGCTGTGATTGCAGGACCTTAACAACCCCCTATAAGTCAGGGTGGAAAGTTGCTTCCAGCTAACATTGTCAGGGGAGAGACTGATGTTTGTGGGGAATATTTTGATTGTTACGTACAGTCCCTTGATTTTATGATTCCATTGTGTATTCCACAAAGGCTCACAAATGAGGCACAGAGAATTGATATGATCAGGGGTGAGGAAGGATATATGCTTAAGCAGTAGATGACAGCAGGGGACAATTAGCTGAAGTCTATGCTGGTGAAAGGAAGCTTTTTACTTATAACAGAATGCCAGATACCCAATGCATTATCAAGATGGACTGCTTTCTCCAGCTGCTGTTTTAACTGGATGTGTGAATAAGCCCCATTTAACAAGTGTGCCAAACACCTGTACTTATAAAATCATGCAAAATGACAGGACGGTGACTGAGGGAGTGTGATGTAAGAGAAAGAACACAGACTCTGAGTCAGAAGATTGGGGATTTGGGTCTGAGGCCAGCTTCATCAATCATTAGCTGTATTACTATGGGTAAGTTCATCTATTAGTCAGTCAACAAGCATTTATTGAATGTTTGCTATGTGCCACTGTGTTCAGCACAAGGTCATTTCCTAGAAGTCACTTCCTAGAATCATAGAATCAAAAGAGCTGGAAAGGACAGAAAGAGCCATCTAGCCCAACTCATCCCTGTCTAGGAATCCCCAGCACAACATCCTTGACAAGTTTTCATTGATCAGTGT